TATTTATTTATTTATTTTTTAACTCTGAAATAATGCTGAACTGAAATGCAAAAAATAGAAAGTTATAAAACTTACGTTTACGTGCCGTCCGTGTTTTTCCTGTTTGTGAAGAATTAAATGGATGAGTGAACTCTCTCTGGGTAGATGAGCAGTTTAAAACATAAATCTGCATAAATTTGTTCAAAATGCCGTCATATCGTCTTACCAGACTCCTTTCTCCCCATAAATCCAAGATGTTGGCGAGATCCTGGTTTTCTGATCATTCTCACTAAAATGTCTTGAATTTCTTTAGAGTTTGGCCATTTTTCCTTATATGAGACAAACACAAGCAAATAAAGACGTTTAATATTAAACATTCTCTTTTTTCCATATGAGGAAAAAATACAATAGAAGCCTGAAACCGAATCCAAGAAATTATTTCATTAAAAGGTTTTGAGCCTAAGCATTAATCATAATCACATACTTTGTTTTAACTTTCTTTATACGTACTCTGAAAGGACGCTGGCAGCAAAGAAAGTGCCAGCAGGTTTATAAAATTTTACCTCCTCGATGTCTTCTCTCCAGATGTCAGCATCCATATCTTGACAGAAAACGTTTGACAGAAGCAGCACAGAAATGAAAACAAGTTTAAGCGTTTCCATCACTGCAGACTGTGTGTACTTAGCCAGGAACACAGATAATAAATATCTGTGTGCAAGTGGATCACACCTCACTGCTGAGTTTCAGATGAAGAGAGCAACATCCACGGTTCTTGTGCCGAGGTCCCTTTACGCAACGTTTGCGCGCTTTTACGCACAGCTGTGTGAGTGAAAGATGAGGGCTGATGCTCATCTCCGGCAATTATTCTGAGTCACTTGTTGCACGTACGTCTTCTAAATGGTCTTGTGTGACTTGTTCAGAGAAATGTTTTGAACTGGACTACTTTAATACTGGCTAAAATGCTTATCAGACTACGCTATATGATATAATTGGAACATCTTCACAGCACATGGAAAATCGTTAAATTAACAGTAAAAGAGTCAAAAACTGGTTATGGACAAATCAAGTGTGTGATCATGTATGAGTTGTATAGTTTTAATGTTTTATTTGGGAACAGAATGGTGTGAATGTGTAAGTTTGGTGATGGAGTTTTTATTATGAATGAATGATGAATTTTTATGAATTATTATGTCTATTTTTTATGCTTAAGGACAACAGATGGAAATTAGCCCTTGGCTATAATCTGGTATGTTTACATTCATGTAAATTTTTTTTTTACATTTATGTTCATTAACATGCACTGTCCTAAATAAAATAAATAAATAAAGATTAAAGGAAAATAAATTATTATTAATTTTCAGTGCGTAACTATCATTTTCAAGGTCTCCTACAGGTCCACACTGCAGTGTGGACTCTGATTTGTGCATTTAGCAGCTTATTGTTGCTGTATGTAACCACCACTTTTTTTAAAATCCATTTTTTATTTGGTTTTGTACTTCCTTTTACATCTTAATTTCTCAATATGTAACCTCAAATTTGACATGATTGTGATATGGTGAAGCTCTCTGAGACATGCCTTAGTTTTTGTATTAGCAGATGTGCAAGAAAATGTCCTGATGAATGAGATACGGTTATATAAAGAGCTACATTATACTTGTACTTTACATTGTTTACTTTATATCGATAAAACTGAATAGTTTTCTTAATAATAGCAACCAATATATGTTGTAATGGCATACTCTAGTTCTTGAAATGGCTCGTGTCGGATAACCTTTTAAATATTTTTATTGAGATAAAAGAATACGATTCAGTTTAATTACGTTTTATTTATACAGCACCCATTCATAACAACAGTCACCTGCACGGTGCTTTATATTGTTAGGTAAAGACCCTACAATAATACAAGGAAATTCCCCCGATAAGCAAGCACTTGGCAACAGTAGGAAGAAAAAAAAATGTCACTTTTAACAGGATGAACCCTTCGGCAGAACCAGGCACAAGGAGCAACTGCTATCTACCACAACTGGGGGGTAAACACGGGTAAATGTGTACAATACTATGCAAAAGTCTTAAAGTGTCTTTCATTTCTTCATATTTTGGAAAGAAAACTGGTAATAGGGGGAAACATGTATGTAAATAAAGTATATAAAGCCAAAACACAGTATTTTACAATTCTAATGAGGTATGAACACACTGCGTCGGTAAGACGAGGATCAATGACTGATATTGTTCAGTTGTGAACAAGACATGTTGCCAAGGTGGCTTCAGTATAATTTCTTTAGGAACTAATAAAGTTCTGATTCTGATTCAGTCAACAGTAGATTGATCAACTAAAGAACCAGATACGTTTTTCAGGACCAGTATCAAGTCTTTCCTTGATGTTTTTATTCATGTTCTTAAGCACTTACACTGTTCACCTGCTGTGGTTCTTTTCTTTCTTTCTTTTTTGCCCCGCAATGGTTATAGTTTCTGTGTTTTTGAAACAGGTCAGCAGTAACAAAGTACCTGATGCTAAACTTTAAAACTGCTTCTTTAACTCGGCTGTTATGTGTAAACGCTACACTGGTTCCCCTTTAAGTTGGATTCTTTTTTATCCTCGGATGGTTCATAGACATGTCAGGGGTCTTAAAACATTTCTCTGAAATAGGTCAGGTCATCAAATCTCGCGAGATGTTGAAAATTTATTTCTGCTAGTCGTTTTGCATCTATTGTCTCCTATTGTTTTGCTATTGTTTTCCGCCTCAACTAAGCGTTTTATGACGACAGATTTAATTATTTTGACGACCAATCAAATTCTCTGTTTCAGATCATTTTCCGTTAAAAGTACCGTTTGCGCTTTCCTGGACCTGTGTCCCCGCAGGGCTGCCGTAGACAGCGGCTCGGCCCGCCTCCAGCTCAAATGTTTGGATGTCATGATTAGGTGGAAGGAGGAAATCACAGGTCGTCTGGGGACAGCTTAAACAGACTCTGACCCTTTAAGTTTAAGTTAACTTTTGGCGAAGTGATGTCCGACCTCGGTTGTTCGTGGTGAGTTCACGGGCACTAGCTTACACCGGGAACATGGCTTTGTTGCGTTCAAAGTCTGCGCTGTTGTGGTTCCTGATTGTTGTGGCAGCTCATATCGCTGAAACAGGAGGGAGACCGAGGCGCCAGGTGTTGCTGACCGAAGGTGACAGCACGGTGAGTTTGAGATCTCGGCAACCTCCCGCAGGGCCGGAGCCCGGTGACCCAGCGGACGCGTTCAAAGTACCAACTCTGGATGGGGAGTTTTCCTTCCAGCCCGACGCTTTGAGGGGACCTCTGGTGATCCACGCCTTCACCAACAACTCAGGGTTTCTGGAGTGCCTTTGGAGCTCAGAGTCTTCGCTAAAAAGTCTCGTGGAGGAACTTCCGAACAGCACACAAGTGCTCTTCCTATCCCTGGACGACTCTGTGGTCAATGATGTTCTCTGGATGCGGGAGCAGGTGCTGCGGGCTGCCGCCCACAGGTGAGCGTGAAGGACTCATCCTCGTTGTAAGGCAGACGAATTGGGTTCCAGTGGTGATAGAAAACAGATGTTTAATAGCACTTGGCAATGCATACCTGCACTGAGTAAAACATACTCGGTGTCAATACAATTATATTTAATTAATTAATATCCTGAAGCTGTTTACGCAAAATTTTTCTGTTGTGGGTGGTGGAGTTACCTATGCTTAACTTTACATACGCACAGTCTAGTTTTGAAGCACAAGGCTAAACTTCGCTTTTCTGTCAAATGTTAGATATGGACAGGGATTCAGAACATGCAACCTCCACTAGAGGCTAAAAGCTTCACGTGAAAATGGAACAGAAAAAAGGCTTAAAAGAACAGCTGTACACATCTGGAAATATTTCAGCACACCCACTTTTAAATGCAATCACAACATCACTACAGAAATGACATGCAAAGTACTGCACAGATAGTGAAGAGGATGATGGATCGGGTAATAAAACAACACAACAGAACACAAATATCAGCAGGAGCAACAAAGCAAATGTGGTGCATATTATGACTGACAAATATAAATCATTTAAAGTGCTTGAAAGTTCACTTGGGGATAAATTTCTGTCAATTTTAATATTTTTGCAGGTTGGTTAAATCTTTGGCTTCAGCAACTTGAAGTGGCAAAAGACGTACTGTGAAACACTAAGTCCATCCAATGATTGAATAAGTTGTAGAACGACCTTTAGCAGTAGGAACTTTGAAGTAATGGTTCTGTGTGTGACTTTCAGCCTCTGTCCCTGTTGGGGGGTAAATGTTGGCCCACTCTTCTTCAGTTCACTGAGGCCTGTGAGCATTAAATTATGCACAGCTCTCTTAAGGTCCCTCCACAGCATTTCAGTCAGATTGAGGTCTGTACTTTGAGTGGGCGCTAATACCTGCTGATGATCATGTTCATTTGAATAGTAGAACCTGTACTTAGTATTTTCACGTGACTGCATAGAGTTGGAGTTGCTGGTTTTATTTAAAGACAGTTTGAGAGCTTCAGATGCAAAATTAATAATAATAATGGATTGGATTTATATAGCGCTTTTCAAGGCACCCAAAGCGCTTTACAATACCACTATTCATTCACTCTCACATTCATACACTGGTGGAGGCAGCTACAGTTGTAGCCACAGCTGCCCTGGGGCAGACTGACAGAAGTGAGGCTGCCATATCGCGCCATCTGCCCCTCTGGCCAATACCAGTAGGCAAGTAGGGTAAAGTGTCTTGCCCAAGGACACAACGACCAGGACAGAGCGCCCATGGATCGAACCAGCGACCTTCCGGTTACAGATGCGATTCCCAACCCCCTGATCCACGGTCGCCCGTTAAAAATTAAACGGTTTTAACAACAAAAAACCTGCAGACTTGTGAAATGTGACTTCTTTTCTGCTCTGGTTCAAATTCCATAAAGCTTTGAGACCCACTTGTTTCCTCTCTAATGCATTCCCATCCATAAGCTAATTTTGTCTGTAAACTATAAAATTTCAGTTTATATGACTGGAAATTTACCTTTTTCTATTTGAACGTGAAACACACAGGGCCTTCCAAAAGATCATAAAATATAGATTTCATACGATGGATAATTTTAGCACTTTCATCATTTATTTCAACTCTGTGCTGTGAAACAGTTTTGACATTAAAAAGTTTCTTGGAAGATTAAATGAGCAGAGTATATTTCCTTTTTTTTTTTTTTTTTTTTAAACTTGCACAGGAGGCTGATATTTTATTTTACAGTTTTCAGGAACATTAATCCTCAAAGCTGTAAAATAATCGGTTATGTGAAACAGGAACCATCTTAACAATAGTGACAACATACTGTACCAAACACAGGAAACTGCACTGGGAAAAAAGGGAAGCGCAGCAGAAGTAAAAAGTACCTAGAACTCCTTAGTCTATTGGAAAACATGATGTTTTTATTTAAATCTCAATGTTTTATTAACATGAGCAAGATCCCAAATGTCACTGCCAGAGTGACATTTATTGTATTAACCATTTTCTTGGGTTGTTTAGAGTTAACCTATGAAGGATTTTTCTTACTTTCAAATATGTGCACTTAAAATGGTGGATGCTTGCATTAAATATGGCCATCAAAGGCTTCAGACACATCTAAGTGCTTTGTGTTGGACAGTTTTTCTTGGTTCTGTATGATGTCACAGGGGATATCCCTGTCTGTGAGTTGTTTGGTACCGTGCTGCAAGAGTTGAGGCTCGAGTGTGAAATTTATGGTTTTCAAGGTTTTTATCGTTATTTTGTTTATCTTTTTTATCGTTAACTCAGTTTCCCTGGGTCTTTTCCTGTGTGTTATGAATAAATCTTCTTTCTTTTTCTTTTTTTTGCTACCGGTACTGGTGTTATTTTGTTGTATTTATCCGCCACACCTTAAAGGCTGGTCTGTGAAAATATTGTCTGACATAAATGGTAAATGGCCTGTATTTGTATAGCGCTTTACTAGTCCCTAAAGACCCCAAAGTGCTTTACACATTTAGTCACACACACATTCACACACTGGTGATAAACCGGTCCGTGGTGCAAAAAAGGTTGGGGACCGCTGATCTAAGACACAGAAACCACAACCACCTGATGCTCTGATCTTCTGCTTTTGAAGTGCAGCCAATCAGAAGGCATGTGACTAAAATGGCTTTTTTTTTTTTTTTTTTTTTTTCCCCCCCCTAAGTTAGCAGATGAACTGTATGAAATAAATTGATTATTTTGAAGTCCAAGAGTTTAAACTTGGAGCTGAAAATAAGGTTTTATGGTTCTTCCAGCGTTAATATAACCATCCGTGCGCTTGCCTCTTTTACGTTTCTGCAGTAAAAAGGAGGTTCTGTCCAGGCTGCACTTCTCTCCGGTGCCCGTCTTTGCTCTGGGTAACTGGATCCCCAGAGTGCTTTACTACTGGAGCTGCATGGGACACGGCTGTGGTCTTTCCCAGGCTGCTTTCATCTCAGAGGGTAAGACAGTGCATGGAATCAGACTCTGCAAATGATTTTTCTCTTGACCTGCCTGATTTTTAGAGGAGTGAAGTCAGAAGGTTAATTTCAGGTCTGTTTATTAGTAGATATTAATATTTAGAATGCAGAGGAATGTTGAGAGGAATCATTTATTTGTAATTCTTGGCTCCCCCCTGCAGAGTGGAAGATGCCTGTGATCATTAAAAGACTAGATGCCAGATATGACTGGCTCATGGCACGCTGGGGCTCAAAGTCCTATACAGTGATTGATGCTGGAGATGGGTGTGAAACCTTCCCCTCGGTGGCAGGTGCTGTGGCCTGGGTGTCTGAAGGCAACTGTTCTTTCTTCACTAAGGTCTGTTAGTGTCAAATTGAATGAATGTTTTTGCTTCCAGTTTGTTGACTTCTGTGGTGACGTGCTTGAAGTTCAGTGAAATTAAATCGAACTGGGAGGATCCGGAGACTTAAAAGGCTTTTTTTTTTTTCTTTTTTTTCCTTGACATTTAAAGCTTGACTACATAAACACATCAGATCTCAATGGAAAAAACAAACATGCTGGATATCTATGCAGATGTGGGCTGGGTAATGTGTTAGGGATGAAGGTATGCTATATCATTTGATGGAAGTAAAAATGATCAACCTACAAAGGACAGAATTGAAAGGCAACTCAAAAATCAATGACAAAAATAATGAAACGATGGAGAAACCACAAGTCTTCATGCTGAGAGGCTGAAAACAATAATTCTTGGTTTTTATTTGACTTT